CCCCATCCTCTTCGTCGTCTCCCATGACAACGTTTTCACGTACACGCAGCTCTCAGTCTCTCTAATCGAAGTCGATCGCTCCCTATCGTCTCCTGTAGTCGACGAAGATCGCTCCAGCCGACATTATCTGATCCCATAGACGACGGCGTTATTTCTCGCAGTAGTCTCCCGTAGTCGACGACACTTCTCCTTCGCAGTCGTCTCCTCGCTCGCTCCAGACGACGCAACTGGTGCTCTCCTGCCCGACAGACAGTGCCCGAAGTTTTCCCTCGGGCCAGCCAAAGCCGCTCTTTTCTGACCATGGCCATCTTGTGGGGGAGATGGTCTCGACGCTCTGTTCCTATGCAACTGTCCTTGCTGGCGACTTTCCTATTCCTACTCGTGCCCCTCTTTCAGGTTAAGAGTCTGGTTTTGATATCGGTAAGTCCTGCAATGTTCCACAATCTTTCCACGAGGCTCTTGAAGATGGTGATGATCACACTTTCATTAAAAAGCTTGGCAAAAAAAATGGGAAGTCTGCTCTTATTCTCACCGAGGTTGAAACCAGCACTTTTGCGTCCTTTTGGCATTTTGCTCTAGTGGAAAAATTTCTTTATGGTCACCCAAAACTGGAGATCACTCGGAAAGAGTTTGATGTTATGAAGTTATTGGACAGTTTGAATATTGGCTTACTTGACGGTCGACATATACTTCTTTAGTTATCTCACGATGCCGACAACACTCGCATTTTCTCTCAAAAAATTATCAAGACTAACAATCATTTTACGAAAATTTTGAAATGGACTGTTGATTTTGATCCAAAAACGGTGTCTCATATCATTCCTGTTTGGATAAAGTTTATGGGGTTAAAATTATATCTGTTCAACATAGAAATTATCTACTCTTTAGCAACTGCCTATGGTAAACCTCTCAAGGTTGATAGTCTTACGTTTACTGTCACCAGACCTCTGTGGTTTTTATGTTAGTTGAGAGAGATATCACTCAAACAGCTCCAGATGAGCGGATGAGATATGGATTGGAACCACTCACAATGGGTATTGGCAAAAGGTTGAAATAAAACCACACCCTTCTTATTGCTTTTATTGTAGTATGTTTGGCCACAGTTCTATTATTTGTTATCGTTTGCATCATCATCTAAAGCCGAATATCACTAAAGATCAGTCATCTACCATCCTTACTGAGAAGGTGCAATATGATCTTCTTTCCAACACCGTAGTTCTAGATGAAGAACACCATACTACATGTATAGATCCAAATGTGTTGATACCACTCACTATTATTGAAGAAGGTCCACTTACATGCCAAAACACACGAGAGTGTTCCTTTGATCTGATAAAAGATCAACTGGTTCAACAAGTAATTGCTTCGAATGTTCAACAACCTACACATATCCTGCACACTTTAAATCATTCCACTAATCAAGTGAGTCAATCTTCGAATGAGGAATGACAGGTCTATTCCAGGAGGAAGAAGAAAAACGGAGGACGACTCGAGCTCAGGAATTTATTGGATGATACATTGGTTTCTACTAGAAATGGCACTCATCATACTAATTTATTAGCTGGCTGCTTCCCTAGAACTAGAGGCAGAGGCAAGTCAAAATTGAGTCGCTCTCCAGCTACCTGATACTCTGTATTTTGGCACATTTTGGTTTTTTCTTTAGGTCTCTTATGTATTTTGTTGTATTTTCTCTTTTTGGAACCATTTGATATGGTGGTTATTATGTGGGCAGGGTGTCATGTTTGGGATCTCCCACACAATCTATCTGTACCCTACTTTTTATTTAATATATTAGCATTTGGACTTTCTCAAATATATATGTATATATATATATATATATGTATGTATGTATGTATGTATACCTTCTAAAATGTAATTTTTTTAAAATTGGAACGAACCAGGTGATTCAACGGGTTCAATCATGCACTGATTCGGTCCATATACAAAACCTTTTCGCCTAGAACTGGATTGAGCCAATGATTCAGTTCGGTTTTGAAGAACGACTCGAATCCAATTTTGATCAAATTATCTTCATTTGTTTTTAATCCAATGCAAAAAATGAAAGTTTTTAAATAAAAAAACTATATAATTTTTTTAACCACTAGTTCCTAACTAACACTGTCATTGCCGGATCTCAAGAGCCGGGTGCAAAAAATGAAGGGTTGAGTTAGATAGTCGACAACAAACTTAAATTTTTTGTCGAAAAATCATGAATCCTTTACACTCTTATGTAAATGATAGACTGTCCTCTGCAAGCGACGCGCTGCATGGCCTGAATACAATGAAAAGAGTGAAATGACCGCTACACCGGTGCCCAGGCATAGTATCAAATAAGCAAGGGTACCCTTATTATGGACGGATGCGGGCAAAGAATTTAGTCTATGAAACTAATATTAAGATAGGATCTTGTAATAAATATAATCTCATAGGTAAATTAATGGAATTAGTAAATATTATGGTTCATAGGAAGAAAAATATCTTATGTATTCAAGAAACTAAATGGAATGGAGAAAAGGCTATGGTGATTGATAACTTAGGTTTTGAATTTTGGTATTCAGGTGAAAGCCGCACTATAAATGGAGTGGTATAATTATTAATAAGAGTTTAAAAGATGGTGTTGTAAAAATTAATAAAATTGGAAATATAATTATAGCCCCAAAGACTGTTATTAATATTATTAGTTTTTAACGTTAGAAGTGCTTATGCTTCTCAAGTAAGTTTAAATATAAGTTTAAAAAAAAATTTAGAATAACCTAGAAGAATTAATACAAATAATACCTCTTAAAGAAAGAACTTTTATTGGGACATGTTGGTAGAGTAGTCGAAGATTTTAGAAATATTTATGATGGTTACAGTTTTGGTATGATTAATGAAGAACATAGAACCTTATTAGATTTCTTTTTAGCATATGATTTTATTATTACTAATACTTTATTTAAGAGAAATTATGAGCATTTTATTACTTATAAGAATAATTCTAATAAAACACAATTTGATTATTTCCTTATGAGGACAAGATATTGTCGAGAATGCAAAGATTATAAGATCATACCAAGTAAAAATTTAAGTATTCAACATTGATTATTAGTTCTAGATTTTAAGATGATGACTTGTAAGACAAATAATACGATAAAACATTGTTATAGAATTATATGAGTGCTCCTAAAAGACAAAAAAATTATTTTATGAATAAAATTCAAGATTTCAAGATTTAGAATGTACATAAAGAAGCTAATTTTATGTGGGATAAAGTAACAAGCATTATTAAACAAGTGGCAAAAGTTATACTTTGAGAATCAAAAGTAAAAGTTTTTATAAATACAAATTGCTGGTGATGAAATAATAATATGCAAGAAAAGATAAAGATAAAATATAAGAAAGATAAAATATAAGAAATTATGTTATAAAAATTTGTTTAAATGTAAAAGCATAAAGAACTGGAATAAATATAAGATGACTTGCAGAGAATCTAAGATAAATTTGTCGCTAAACATTTTGTTTTTAATGATCTTTATAATAAATTGGATATTTAAGATGATGATAAATATATGTCTAAACTAGCCAAACAAAGAGCAAAAAAAAGAAAATATTTATTCAAGTAAATTGTATTAAAAATGAAAATCAAAAAGTTTTTTTTCTTAGAGGAAGATATTCAACATAGATGGGTGAGCTAATTTGATAAACTTTTTAATGAAGTTTCTGAAATTATGACCGATATTTGTGATATTAATATCATTAATAATGATAAAATATATTACTTTTACCATCACATTAGTAAAAAAGAGTTTGAGGATTTAAAGAAAACTAAGGGTGAAAAATCAGTAGGACCTGATAATATCCAATTGAAGTATGGAAATATTTTGGAGATTTTGGAGTTTCTTGGTTTACTAAACTCTTTTGTATTATTTTAAAAACTTAAAAGATGTATGAGAAGCGGAGGAAGAGTATTTTGGTTCGCATTTTTAAAAATAAAGGCAATGTACAAGAGTCTGTAAATTAATCAGTTGATGTGTCGTACTTTAAAATTACGGGAGAGAATAATTGAACATACGTTAAGACGTGATACAAAGATTTCTCATAATTAATTTGGATTTATGTTGGATATGCCTGGCAGGTCTACTATGGAAGCTATGCATTTATTGAGAGGTTTGATGGAGAAGTATAGAGAGTAAGAATGATCTATATATGATTTTTATTGATTTAGAAATAACTTACGATAAGGTCCCCATAGAAGTACTTTAGAGAGTTCTAGAGAAGAAATGTATTGATTTACTTATATTCTAGTCATTACGGATATGTATACTAGAGTTGTTACTTGTGTTCGAACAGAAGAATGTTTAAACAAGTGTTTTCTTATTTCAGTTGGATTACATCAGGGATTGGCTCTAAGCCCGCATCTTTTTGCTTTAGTTATGGATGTTTTCTCAACATTTACAGTAGGATGTATTATGGTATATATTTTTTGCTGATGATATCCTTCTTGCGGATAAGATTAGAGAGAAAGTTCAGAAGAAACTTGAATGAGTCTAAAAACCTTCGTTTAAGTAGATCTAAAATTGACTGCATTGAATGTAATTTTAGTAGTAGTAGCACTAGTGGCAGAGTTGTAAAAATGGGCGATCAAATCATTAAAAGGCGTGAACATTTTAGATATCTCAGGTTTATTGTTCAAAGTGATAGTGATATAGATGGGGATGTTATTAGTAGAATTCAAGTTGGTCGGTTGAAGTGGAGGAATGCATCGGGCCTATTTTCAAGTTGGTTCAAGTTGGTCGGTTGAAGTGGAGGAATGCATCGGGCCTATTGTGTGATAGAAAAGTATTGCTTAGACTTACAGGAAAATTTATAAGATAGTGGTGAGACCTGCAATACATTAGCCTTTAAAAGAGAAGCATAAAATAAGGTAATGTGTTGCTAAGATGAGAATGCTTAGGTGGATGAGTGACTTGACACTTAGAGACAAAATGCGAAATGCATATCTCCGTGACAGGGTTGGTGTAGCTCCAGTTGCGGATAAGATTTGAGAGAGTCATCTTACATTGTTCATGTAGCTAACCCCACTTAGTAGGACAAAATTTTGTTTGTTGTTGTTTGTTGTTGTTTGTTGTTGTAAACACTAGTTCCTAACTACTCGAACTCGCTAATTTTCCTTATGGCTACAAAAGGATAGGTTAGTCACTTGAACATTAAATGTATTTAAATTTAACAATTCCACCTCAACATCCCTTGCTCCCAATCGATGTGGATAAAGATCGATATGGTAAGGATCATATAAGTGTGGCATAAGTGATTCAACCAAGTTCTTAATAGTATACCAGGCTCAATCCATTCAATTCTAAATTAAGACTAAAAAATATGGATTGTTTGGATTCATGTCAAGATGGTTAAGAAGAAGATGCAATTTCAATTGCTATAGTTTTGTAGCTCAGCAGCAATTTCCCTTGATATATTACGCAAATCATAGATCACTTTAATAATATCCTACAGAGTTTCCCTCGTAGACAATTGAAAAAGAAAAATAGGAATCATATCATCAATGCTTTTCTTCTACATAATAAAGTAAAAAACCATCATCTCTTGGCCTATAGACATTTGATTTGATCTCCCATATCAAATTTAATAAGTAATTATAAGTCTAAGAGTAAAGTAAAGACATAGCTTAGAGAGAACTAATCACTCAAAAGAACTCGATGTCTGTTTGGAAGGAGCCAATCTGGAAAGACTGAGAGGATAAGATGATTAAGGGAAGCATTCTCACCACCATCTTAGAAGAAATCATAACCTTCTATAAAACCCTAATTGTTGTAAAAAGAATGGCAGTAAGAAAGATATTGACAGCAATTGCAAATGGGAGAGAAATTGGAGAAAGGGCGTCAAGCCTCAAGGTTTGGATAAACCCACCAATTAAATGGTGTTGAGACCCTTGAGATATTAGTGATAGCCATTGTTGAAGAGAAACCAAAAAGGTCACAAAACATTTGATTCTACCTTTCATTTCTTAAGGTGTAATGCCTCCTTTAAAGTAGGCATTTCTGAATAACTCATTCTCATTCTAGAAAAATAGAAAGCAAAGGTATTGAGGTAGAAACACAACTCAAAGGTTTTTGAGAAGAAACATGATGATCTTGTATTTCTTCTTTCAAATTTTATTTCTAATAGAACTTGAAATGATGGGAAACTTAATATGAGTGATAAAGATTGAATCACAAGGCAACAAAGATCTAGGTACTAGCAATTGCATGTCGGTGAAACCTTCGAAAAGCCTACCCATCCTGAGAGATAAGGGGTGAGAAATTTTTGAGAGAATTTGAGATCGTCTTTTATTTTTTAAAGTTTTGTTTCTATACTTTGTTTATGTCTTTGCATAAAATAAAAAATATATTTGGTAGCTTAAATATAAATTAACTTTATTTTTTCTTAATGAATGTCGCAGAAATCCATTTATATTCAATTGTAAGAGGGCGGCAAAGCCACAATCAGATGTGTCGGTAGACCAAAGTAACACATCATCAGCTGAGAAATCTGGTTGATGGTTGACTAGCATGAGTTTAGCATACAATAGGAATAGAGGTAGATGGCAACAATAACAAGGTCAATTAGTAGCAGTTGTGGGGTTAGTCGGCGGTGTGCGCAAGAGGTTTCAATTTAAAAATAATTAAATTGCCAATAAACTATTTTTCGTATTTTTAAAACTAACTTGATTTATTTGTAAAAAGAGCTTGATTTATTTTTAAAAAGAACTTGATTTATTTTTTAATATAAAAATTAAAAATAATTACAAAACACTAACCAAAATTGTTTTGTTTAAAATGTTAGAAAGAAAAAAATAAAAATAAAAAGTGATGTCAAAAAGGCCTTAAGATTTTCTTTGATATTCTAGAGAAAAATTAAATAACGACAAAGAACTACCAAAATATTAAGGCTAGTGGTATTGGCACTTATAAATGTATCCTTGCATGGCTTTTTGGTGGATGAGAAGAGGACATCAAGTATTGTTCTCAAAAGCGATTGGTTGAGAGGATAAAGAAAAATCAGATTAAAATCTCATACTTTTATCATTCCAAATAAGTTATAAATCATCAGTCTATTTAGTAAATAAATGTGGTAGACCCAACTTGACCAAATGATCATTGTTAGCAACCATAGGTTGCATCATATATAAAGACCTAATAAACTCAAAGTGAAAAATGGTTGAGGGGCAATTTCAGATTAACACTGACTAATTGAGAGTTTTGTGCCCTATCAATTGCATCAAGCATAGCTAGAAGCACAAATGCATGTCATCGAAGAACATATGGACTTCGATCGTAGCAATAATATAGTGGCATCGGCACAATCAGTTTAACCAACAATTAAAGGGCCTATAATGCATGCCATTAAAGACCATATAAGAAACCTCCCCATCAATGCAAAAAAAGGATATATGGTTGATAATTATATCTCACCTCTACAATGATACAAAATGTGAACCCATTACAAGCCTACAATAAGATGTAAAACATCACACTCTCTCATTGCAATCAAATTCATATGAGACTTGTACATCACAAAACTTATGCAACACCACACCATCTTGTGGGATTTTAATTTTAGAAATTCAAAATTCAATTAAAATTGCATCCCTCTAGATAGCGTGGAACTAATCACAAACCAACAGAATATGTCATCATTGGTGGCCCACATCATGTCAAAAAAATTGAGACATTTTCTACTTTGACTTTTTTATAGTACGGGTTTTTTTTTCCAAAGGCTTTTTGTTCACCGCTCTAACACAAATGCACTTAGCACATCCAATGACTTGTAAGCCCATAGTCACTCCACATGACAACAATGTAGACCGCACTTTGCATGTTGAGTCAGCAAGCTTAAGCCTAAGGCACGCTTTGAAGGAGCTTAAAAAAAAAGTTTAGCATGCATGAAGCATGAAAATTAAAAATCAGAGAAACTATATGTGAATATTAAATTAAGGTCACAAGAACCTTTATTTGTTGATAAAATATAAAAGAAAGATAAAAGATTAAGTTAATTTTGTACATACCATCTACATACCACCAGCCATCATACTTCTCAGATTTATTAAGCCTTTCAATGATGGACAAACCCTCTATCCAATTGTTGTAACCACCATGAATCCAAATATTTGAAGAATGTTCGAGCGCACGAGACTTTCGGTTGTAGAATAATCGAATCACATTTTTCCCCTTAAATAAACTATGTTCTATATGCCATAAACCATCAACAGACTCCACAGCCGATGTCATCACTCTTTGACAAGCTTCCTGCATTTTCTTCACCTCGAATTTTGCCTGTGTTCTGATAGTATCCATGACATCCCGTTCCACCTCCCTACGACGCTGCTCTTCAACAACTCTCTCCTTCTCAGCTTGCTCAGCAGCGATTTTTTCAAGTCCTCGCCGCTGCTCTTCAAGCAATAAATCTTCAAATGCATATTCATCCATTTCACCCTCAACAGGTTTAGAAAAATCATTCAGGTTATTATTTTCATAGACATTTCCACCATTGAAGAATACAAAATCCATTTTGTAAGCCTCTTTGGGAACATAAATCTGGCAAGACCACCAGTCCCCATTAAGATCACTTCTACGCATCTTTTCAGTGAAATTCTTCCATCTCCAGTTATTAAAGGCGCCACTTATGAAAACATCAGGTTCATTTGCCAAAAGTGATAAAGCTCGATTAAAGAACACTTCAATCATTTGATCCGCTTTTATGACTTTTGGGAAAACAAAAAACTTGATCCCACTGGCAAAATTTTCATTAGCAAGACCCTCTAAAAATTTCCTACGCGCCTGTGCTTCCATCTCAACCTTTTTTTCAGTTGATGATACATCATAAAGTTCACTTTGCCCATCATACTGACCTATACTAGCATCATCTTCAACCATGGCTACTCCCACCTTCTTGTTGTAACCTGCAGCTTTATGGTTTTCTGTAATTACCAACTTTTCCATTTGACCCTGAACTTTTGATGCACCGAGACAAGAATTACCTGAAAATTCAGATATTTTTTCCTGTTGTAAACTCTCATCATTCCTCACCCTTCCTTTCTCAAAGTTTTCATCATCATAAACAATTGTTTCTTCCAGCATCATTGTACCTATTTCATCTCTCTCATCCTCGTTGCTGTATAGTTTCTCTACCAGCTCTAAATCAGCATCAACCTGACCTCTTGCTTCACCGTCGTCCGATAACTTAGTTCTGCTTTTTACTACATTGCCAGTAGAATTGATATAGAATGAAAACGACTACTTATGGTTTTCTATCAGCAGTAATTACCAAGAACTGCTAGCGAAAGATAAGTTCTTACTAGACTGAGAACTGCCAGATTGCTCCTCCTCATCAGGATCACGATCTTTCTTCTGAGTGCTTCTTCCAACCTGAGGTCTAGGTGCAAAACCTTTAGGAGCAGAAACATTAGTCCTGGGAATTGCACTTTTTCTAGGACGTTTCCTCGAGTTGTCTGAAATGAATGCAGTTTAGATACAGAAGTATGATTATGAAAAAGAAAAATGACAACACAAAACAGCAACTTGCCAGAACTTGCTCTCATGGGCGCCACAGTTCTTGCTATTGCAAGATCATTGCTTTCTAATGACTGAAAACAAAACAAAAAAAAAAGAAATAAGAAAAAAACAAGGCATCAATAAAAAGAGATGATCCCCACAAAAACTATAGCTTACGTTATATATTAGCCAGAAATATACCAAACCTGACCGTTTAATTAGAATTTGAAGTATTAAAATATAGCAACAAATCCATTTAATCTGGTTTTCTTTAGAGTTTCGCGCAACCATGACAATGAGCCTAAATGACCCACTGAAAAAAAATTAAAAAATAAAAAAAAATATTCTTTTCTTAAAGTTAGAGTGCTGCAGCATAAATTTAATCTAGGAGTGATTTGGTCCAAAGATTTGGACAACAACTTCCAAAATCATTATCAACTAAGTCATCCGCACCATTAAAATCTAATTTTCAATGAATAACTCGAAATACACCTTCAAAAATAGCTAATAGAAAGAAGAAGTACAGAACGAAAACAAAAAAAAAAACAAAAAACGTAGTAGTAATCAACCAGGGACGACGCACCTAAACCGACTAACTGAATCCAGCTTCTTAATCCTGAACAGAGCTTCTTATGCAAAAATAATACGTAATAACACCACTCACTGAAGTATTAGTCCACAAATTGCAAATCCAAAGAAGTAATAAATCCAAATTCATGAACAAATCCAAACCACAAAGCAAGAGGGAAAAAGAAATCATCGACAACAACTAAATTGCAAGCTCATAAGAAGGAAAGATGCGATACATTCAAGACCCCAATGGTCGGTCTGATCCTTAAACGCGAGCAGTCCATGGTCGCTACTTTGCAACCAAGTGGCCGTTGAAGCTGGCACGCCATCTCCATTTCCACTTGGATGCGCAAACTCTTTCCTCTATGAGAAGGTTTTGCCGCGGCAACTACACGCAGAGATGACAGATAAAGTAAGTGGAGTGCTTCAGATTTCTAGGAATTGTAGTTCAGCCGGGATGAAGAGGAAATATCTGTGGTATTGTGGTACGGATGGTATTGGCCTCAATATTGTCGGGTATTCGTACGTTTGGTATATGACTTTAGCTTCTACTCTTGCTGATGGGCAACTTATCCGAAAGAAAAAATAAATTGTGTTTGATAGGATGCTATTTATGTGAATTAGTCATGAATTTAACTTAAATTTTATCAAGCATAATAAGTATAGAAACTAAATCCAATATAATTTCAGAATAATGCGGAATAAAGTGAAATACTCAATTATTTCATTGATATAAACGAAAGTATAAATAACTCTTACAAGAACTCTATAATAGGAAAAATAATAAAAAGGAAATTATATGAAAGGAAAGATATATCATATAATATCTCCAATAATTAATTCATATTAATTATTAGGAGATATATAAAATAACATAAAATAGGAAACCAAATAATTCTTAATATAAGGAAATAAATATAAAATAAGAAAGGAAATATCTCCTTAAATTATGGAAATAATTTATTCCTCATAACTTCTTATAGGAATAAATTATTTTCTATTATAATACTTAACAAAAATCTCACATGTTCAATTAATTTATTAGTTTTTCATCTATCTTATAACATAAATCTGGATTTATTATATCCACATACGAGGCGAATTTACAGAACGTCGCTCGTCGTCTCAGACGTCACTCGTGGGGTTATTAAAATCCATCTATGAAGATGATTTTAAAAATCATGTTTAACGTAAATCCAAATCACATCCAAGTAGTTTTGAGGAAGGTTCATACGTACAGAATAATATACGTCACTCGTATTATCTGTCATATAAATCACATACACAATCTTACAATAAAATATAATTTTACAAGAAAACAAGTATGTTCAATATATGAGAGGACAAAAAAAGTAAGTGATATGTAATTTTTCTTTTAATTTAATAGATTTCATAATTATAAAATTAGATGTTATATTTCATTAGCAAATGTATAAGAATAAAGCAAAATAACTTTAAAAGATAGTTAAAAGAGCTTCATTATAAAAATTATATAATAAAATTTAGTAATTCTATGTGCAAGCATATATGGTAGATGGATAGTTTTTTATAGTTTATTATATTATAATTATATGGAAAAAAAAAAAATCTCACACACAAAATTAAACAAAATTAAGTATATGAGCTTCAAAATTTAACTTCTAAGATGAGCAAAATCTCAAAGACATCTCGTTGAGGTTCCGAACATTAGTTAAAGCTTCAAAATTCGTTATGTTGTGAAATTCTCTGCGCCTAAAATGTTTCTCAATGCCACTGTTTTGTTAAATAGGAAAAGTGATAATATGATGTGTTTTTCTTATATAAGAGATTCCATGAAGAAAAAAAAAGAAATTAGATCTAATGTAGTTTGACCAATGAATATTATCTAAACTAATATAAAATGCACATAAAATAATCAGAATAGTAAGAATTTATGATCGAGTCAAATCATGTTAAATGAAAAATCCATATGGCCTATATCTCATGTAGACCAAACTCTCAAAGGGATTAGGTTCCATAAAGTTAATTAGACTCAATGATATCCCCAATAAATACTTTCAATTACTTATGACATGCTTGTATTTTACTTTGTTAGGCTAAACATCAAGGAATATTACTATGATTCACTGAAAGGTAGCCTAATTAATCGTCATAATCAATAAGGCAGCTAACCTTCCATATAAAAACTTTGTGCAATAATAATCATTAAGCCATGCTTGACACAATAAAGTATAAATAGCTAAAAAAAGATTTCAAGTAAAGATAAGAATAGAGTAAAAGTTAAAAATAGCTTAATCATGTTCTTATGATTCTTACATAATATATTATCATACTTGATATCATGTAATCATAAAGATAGTTAGTTGATCAAACTTGGGTGTGAAACATTCTATCAATGATAGAAGATTTCTAAATGATGGATTAAAAAGTTGTGTAGCTCATGATCTCTATTAATATAAAAGATGCTTATGGAAGTGGAGAAGAAGAAAGTGTGATTAGACATAATTAGAGCCACTATATCAAACTTATGGATTAAGCTTAGCATTATCTAACATACTTAACACTGCTATCAATAATAAAAGTTATATCATAAGAAACATGATGCATTATATAAGTTATTTATTCTTAATTACAAAAAACTTTTATAAGCATGTTGCTTATTCATGTAATAAAAGCGTGCTAGCATTTGAGATTTTGATCAATGGAAATATCTACCATGCATGTATATAGGAGATATAAATAGAATATTTTCAACTTAAAAGCGGGCAATGAGAATTGTAAATTTAAGAAATATTTATAAATCACTTTTAAGTTGCGTCATGTGTCAGGAAATTCAAGCAAGCAGGATAATAATTTAACATCAGCGTTGTACCAAAATTCAACACAAACAAACACATATAATAAGAAACTAACAGTAGATGATGAGAAAGTAACATGAGAATTCGCCAGGGCTTCATATGTGGAAAGCCTAATAAGGAAAAAATATTGAGGTGTAGCCCAGTAAATATGATCTTTTATAAGTTTATAAGTATAAATATATATATCTTATCTCACATCTGGGAAAGTCTTATAAAATTACATAAAGTATAATTTTTTGTTTATACACAATAAACAAAAAGATTTGTTGTATTTTGTAGATAATACTCTAAAGCAGTTGCCATCGAGAGTTATCTTTAGCTTTTTAGTACATCATGTTTGAGGTGAGTCATTAAATAGTATTTGAGATATTTCATTACTCAATAAAGTTTTTCGTTACTCAATAAGATACTTAATAATTCAACATGATACTCCATAATTTAATAGTGCACTTTGTTAATAAGCAGTTTACCAACGATGGCTAGCAGAGGGTGGTCGGCGTTGGTTAGCGGCGGACCGTAGGTGGCGGTCAAATTAGACTCCTTATCTTCATTTTTCTTAAGTGAAGAGAGAGGGATTATTTATAGCCCCTAATAGATGGGCATTTTTGTCCTTTAACAAATAAATCTCGTAACCACCCAATTGAACGACCCACATTCCTCTTGGTCATAGAAGTTTTTTTATGATTTGATGGTTTTAATGACTTCAGAATCAAGTGATCTTAGACTCGTTGGATTTCTCTCATTGAGACACTCTATTTAACTATAGGTAAGTCAAATTAAAGTCTATTTGACTCTCCAATTAATCACTCAAAAGCTTCACAAGTAGTTATATAGCTTGATTCAGGCTTGATTCGGATTGGATTGGATCAATTTTGGTATCATTAGGTTCGTCTCGTCAAGACGGCCAATTTGATTTTAAGTTTGTTAAAATCGGAGTTGTAGATGATTGTTAATATGAACCGAAATGTTTCTTTATTTAAAAAATATCTCAAGATTCGTGTAAGATAAAATTAGTTGATGTTCATCAAGTTGGTTGTCATTAATTAAGTTTGACAGAAGGTTTTTTAAATAAAGATCATATCTTGAAGATATAAACCCCAAATAAACAAAACAAAAAGAAAGTAAAAGGAAAATTAATCAAGTAAATTAAAAATAGTCTTATAAATAAATCATGGATTGTGATGGCATAAACAGATGATATATATGTCCGTATGTGAAAATCGCCTTTCAATCTATGTTTTTTTCTGATGGAAACATATAAGCTGAGGCCAACTTCTTTTTTGCCTTCATGTGGGGTGTGTGTATTGTATGACAAAAAATATCAGAGTCCTTATCGAGCTAAATGAGCCACCGTTGGAGTCATGCCAACAGCCCGCTTTCCTTCTGGCTGACCATCCATGACCAACTCGTCGGCCAACCTTGGGTTGGCCGCCCATGACCAACCTCATTGGGCCGACCACCAGCACCCAGTCGGCCAGCCACCCCTTTCCTCCGACTGACTGAACCTAACGAGCCCCATTGACTCCAAAACGACAGATCTGAACAAGGAAAGACTAAAATAACTTGTACTACTCTTCTTAAAGTAAAGACAAAGATGTAATATGTTATCTCCCCATTTTTATATTCTATAAACAGAAGACTATTGACATGTATTAAAGGGTCATTGCGCTCTCCTCTCTCAACCTACAATGTAAGAGAACTCTCTCCCCTTCTCTTTTATTGTAAGTTCTATTTTCCAAAGAATAAAAAAACTTAAAAAACCCGGAAACACCCCTATTCACTCATTCGGAGGCAGGCCACACGACAAATCTGACTCCAACAATAAGTTATTATAACTTGACCATAATAATTAGAGGCATTTACATGCATACCACCCAATTACTCATAATTTACATATCCAACACATAAAATTTACTTTCCAAATCTATTTGCATGACATAAAAATAGAATTAATTTGACTTATTAAAATGTGAAATGCACATTTGCATGCATAGGTAAGACTGCATGTATATGTAAAACTGAAGCTTAGGCGTTAGGATATGTAAATACATTGGAATTAAGTGCTATGTATGTTAATATTCCTATTAATTGTGTGATGCACTTTATAAATCCTAAAATTATTAAATTCCATCATATGAAAGTACTTAAATACCATTTTTGGGCATTATATTCTAATTAATAACATGTGGGATGACATCATATGAAACCGTCTCTTCAAACTATTTATTTAATAGTTGTTCAATAAATGGTGTTAGCAGATGTCTTCGTTTGTGATTGAATAATATAATATTCAGTATGATATCCTGCAAGATGTTTTCAACAACAATAATTAGATCAAATTTTTCTATTTTAAAAGCTTGCTATACACTAATATTCATAATATTTATTGTTTAATATAATTAAAAAATATATAATTGATGTGTGCTAGAAAACTCGCGGCGGTAGAATAATAGATTATCGTTTTAGCGTTGCACGAGGATTCAACACGCATTTGGATGAAAGGGAATCAACTTGTGATGACACCAGAAGTTTTTTACGTGGAAAACTCGTAAAAGGAAAAAATGAAGGGGTTTTGACCCAGTTAAAAAAATTTACTATAAGTTGATGATAACAAAGGCACTTGTCCCACATACGGGAAAT